TACATTGCTCTGTTTTAAAAAATGTTTCTTCAGGCTGGTTATCATGTGGCAGGATTGAACACACACATTTACCTCTTCTTCTTTGTAAATTCTCACTAACAAAACTGTAAAGGGTATTGTTTTTCTTTAAAGGTATTATCTTAAAGGAAAACATAAACTTACAAGCACAAGGAGTCTTGGGGAAAAAAAAAATAATGGCAGGGGTCGGGGAAGAAAGGAATGAATAAGCAGAACAGAAAGGATTTTTAGGGCAGCAAAACTACCCTTATGATACTGCAATGGCAGATATATGTCATTATATATTTATCCAAACCCACAGAATGTACAACATCAAGAGTGAACCCTAAGGTAAGCTATTGACTTGAGGGTGATAATGATGTGTCCTATGTAGGTTCATCAATTGTAACCAAGGTAACACTCCAGTGAGGAATGTTGATAATAGAAGAGGCTGCGAAAGAGTGGAGAGAGATTGCTGTACTTTCCACTCAATTTTGCTGTGAACCTGTAACTGCTCTAAAATTTAAAATCTATTTTTTTTAATGGCAGCAAAAGTTGGGGAGATGCAAAGCATAAGAACGAATGGATATTTCTGCAAAAAAAAGGGCTGAATCCTAAGTTGTCTATGGGAAAAACTAAGCAGAAACCTAAATTACAAACCCAAATCTTCACAGGTCTCAGCAATCAGCAGCTTTAGGAAATTCTGTATTGAAAATGAAGATGTAGCTAAAACTGGGAAGCATGTTGAAAGTTTGGTAAAGAAGGCCTAAATGAGCTCCCCTACTTTGCTCAGCTGAGTGACTGACACTCCTTCACCTCAGGGAATGGGAAAACAGAGAGCCTCTGGACTGGGACACCAAGCACAGTTGAAGTCAGGGATTCCACACTGAAGAGGATCTGAAGCCATATCCTACTGAAGGAGATTGAACGTTGGACCCTAAACCTCTCGCCTGACTTGGATCACAGAACATTGGCAAGAGAGATCTTTATTTGCAGAATCTGACCAAAAAACACAAAAAAGAAACTAAAGATATTGATATTTGAGTGTATCCTCCATGAAATAATCAAATCAGCTCAGCCTATTATAAAGTCCATACTCAACAATCCCTGTACATGCAATCAGCTTCTTAGTGGACCACAGTTAAATATTAATTCACAGCCAAGGACAATACACATAGAAAGAAAGACACCACGTTTTCAGAAAAAAACAAAACAAAGAGAGATAAAGGAAACTGAAGGAAACAGAGATCATTCAAGAAATTTTTTTTACTTTTTTTACAATGTATCATCAGAATTCTCCAAAAGAAATAAGATTTTGCATCAATAAAGCAACAAGATAATGTTGTAGAGAAGAAACTTTCAGAAAACAAAAAAAAAGTGCTTTTACTTTTTAAAAACAGTTGTAGAAATGAAAAACTCGATTTCTAGAATGACTAGATAATAAAAAAATATCTCTCAGAAAGTAGAATCAAAAAGACAAAGGTATGAAAAATAAGAAAGAAAAGATAAAGTTAGAGGCAAAGTCCAAGAGATCCAACATCATAATAAAAGAGTTCTAGAACAAGAGAACAGGAAAAATGAAAATTTTCCAAATCTGAAAAATACATTTCCACATTGAAAGAATCCATGAGAGCATAAAATAGTAGCTAAAAATAGCCCTATTCTAAGGTACAACATCAGGACTGAGTCAGACAGACTGGTCTTAAAACTTCCAGAAATAAAATGAATTTACACACAAAGGATCAAGAATCAAATTGGATCACAATTCTCAAAAGGCACACTGGAAGCTGGAAGAAATGTCTTCAAAATTATGAAATAAATTATTTGCAATATAGGGGCGCCTGGGTGGCTCAGTGGGTTAAGCATCTGCCTTCGGCTCAGGTCATGGTCCCAGGGTCCTGGAATGGAGCCCCACATCAGGCTCTCTGCTCAGCAGGCAGCCTGCTTCCTTCTCTCTCTCTCTGCCTGCCTCTCTGACTACTTGTGATCTCTGTCTGTCAAACAAATAAATAAAATCTTTTCAAAAATTATTTGTAATATAGAATTATATATCCAACCAAAACAAACTGAGGGTTTTGGAGGGGAGGGAAGGGGGGCGTTGGGTGAGCCTGATGGTGGGTATTACAGAGGGCATGTATTGCATGGAGCACTGGGTGTGGTGCATAAAGAATGAATTTTGGAACACTGAAAAAAAATAAAATAAAATAATTTTTTTAAAAAGATGGATTCAGATAAGGCATTTTTTAAAGATTCTATTTATTTATTTGTCAGAGAGACAGCACAAGCAGGGTGAGTGGCAGGCAGAGGGAGAAGCAGGCTCCCCATTGAGCAAGGAGCCCGATGTGGGACTCAGTTCCAGGATCCTGGGATCATGACCTGAGCCAAAGGCAGACGTTAAAGCTTAACCGCCTGAGCCACCAGAATAAAGGTATTTTCAAACATATGTCAAAAATTGGTCTCCCAGTTACCTCCATTTAAAAGGCCACTGGATGAGTAAACCAAGAAAGATGAACACATGGGACCTTAGGAAATGTGATCCAATTAACAAAGACTTGGCCAGAATCTCCCATAATGAGAGAGATGAGTGAGTTAAGATATCAGCTATGTAGGAGGCCTAAAGAGCAGCCAGTCTATGTAACAGCAAGTCAAAAGCTCCAGTTGGGAAAGATTTATGGTGGATGATACTGTAGGAAGCACCAGGGATCCATCTCTCCATCCAGATAAAAATTACACTCTCAGAATCTTTGTGATATAACTGTTTTGGAACTCTGGAGTCTAATGAAGGCTTGCCACTTCCAGGCAAAGGTTGGGACTATAAATTGCAGTTAACTTCAGCGAATTTCAGCTCTTAGCATTGCAGCAGCTACCCATTCCCCATGGTTCGGTTCCATGGCAGGCAGCTGTGCACATGCTCCTGGAGCAGCTTGCACGGCTTGTGGGAGACAGGATGGCCAATAAGGACTCTGTCCTCCAAATAGTAGGAATCGCTATTCATTACCACTGATTCTACAGAAATAAAAAGAATTAGAATATTATGAATAGTTGTACATCAACAAACTGGATAACCTAGATTAAATGAAGAAATTCTTAGAAACATAAAATCTACCAAGATTAAATCACAAAGATAGAAAAACAAAATGATAGATTAAAAGACAGAATCAATAATCAAAAATCTCCTGACAAAGAACAACTCTGGATGAGATGGATGCACTGGTGAATTCTACTACACATCGAATTAGCTAACACATTGATGAACTAACACTAACCCTTCTGTTGCAAAAAATTGAAGAGGCAGGAACACTTCCTAACTCATTTTACAAAGCCAACATTACTCTAATTACAAAGTCAAGGACATTTAAGGAAAGAAAACTACAGACCAATATCTTTTATGAATGTTGATGCAAAACTCCTTAACAAAATACCAGTAAACTGTATTCATGAGTATATTAGAAAGATTATACACCATGACCAAGTGGGATTTATTCCTGGAATGCAAGGAGAACTCAACATGAAAATTGATCAGTATAGGGATGCCTGGGTGGCTCAGTCAGTTAAGCATCTGCCTTCAGCTCAGGTCACGATCCCAGCGTCCTGGATTGAGTCCCACATCAGGCTCCTTGCTCAGCAAGGAGCTAGATTCTCCCTCTGCTTGCCACTCTCCTTCTCTCTCTGACAAATAAATACAGTTAAAAAAAATCTTAAAAAAAAAAAAAAGATTGACAAAGTTTAAAAAAAATTGATCAGTATAAACACACTACAGCAACAGAATGATGGAAGAACCCTATGGTCATCTCAATTGATGCAGAAAAAGCACCTGATAAAATTCAGCACCCTTTCAAGAGATAAATAAATAAATACACTAAGATTGGAAGTAAACTACCCCAAGATAAAAAAACATAATAAAAACCATATGTGAAAAACCCATAGCAAACATCATATTCAATGGTAAAAAACTAAAAGCTTTTCTTCTAAGATCAGAAACAAAGCCAGAAGGCCCACTTTCACCACTTCAAGCCACAGGAATTAGGCAAGAAAGAAATAAAAGGCACCCAAATTGGAAATGAAGAAGTAAAGGCAAGATGATATGATCTTACATATCAAAAACACTACAGATTCCACCCACCGAAAAAATTACTAGGATAATCAAATTCAGCAAAATAGCGGGATATAAAGGCAACATGCAAAAACTAGTTGCATTTCTATATAATAAACAATGAACAATATGGAAAAGAAATTAAGAAAGCAATCCATGGTGGCTCAGTGGTTAAAGCCTCTGACTTCGGCTCAGGTCATGATCTCAGGGTCCTGGGATCAAGTCCCGCATCGGGCTCTCTGCTCAGCAGGGAGCCTGCCTCCTCCTCCTGTCTCTCTCTGCCTGTCTCTCTGGCTACTTGTGATCTGGCTGTCAAATAAATTTTAAAAAATTAAAAAAAAAAAAAAGAAAGCAATCCATTTATAATAGCATCAAAAACAATAAGATACTGGGGTTCCTGGCTGGTTCAGTTGGTAGAGGATGTGAATCTTGATCCCAGGGTCATGGCTTTGAGCCCCACACTGGGCTCAAACTTAAGATTCCTTAAAAAAAAAAAAAAAAAAAAGCTGGAAATTTGTCCTTTCCAGGAGCACCTGGCTGGCTCAATCAATAGAGCATGTTACTCTTAATCTCAGGTTTTTGAGTTCCAGGCCCACCTTGAGTATAGAGATTAAATAAAAAATTTTTTAAAAGTATAAAAAACAATAATTTCTGAGGTTTAAAAAAAAAGAAAGAAAGAATAAGGGCTCCTGGATGGCTCAGTCAGTTAAGCATCTGCCTTCAGCCCAGGTCATGATCCCAAGGTCCTGAGATTGAGGCTCATGTGGAAGCTCCCTGCTCAGCAAGGAGTCTGCTTCTCCCTCTCCCTCTGTCCCTCCTGTTGCTTATGATTTCTCTCTCTCAAATAAGTCAATAAAATCTTTAAATAAATAAATAAAATACTAGCAGTGAGGTGACAAGAGCAGGAGGTATGGTTGGTTGCTACAAGGTCCCCATCATCTCCTTTAGCATGACCCACCAGCTTGACAGCAAATCGCTGAGTAACCAAGAAAACTTAAAATTGTTTGAGAAATGGAACAATCCCAATGACCATGGCCACAATTATAAAGTTGCGGTGATAGTACATGGAGCGAATGATCCTGTTACAGGCATGGTTATGATTTTGACTGACCTCAAAGAATATATGGAGGCAATTAAGAAGCCCTGTGATCATAAGAATCTGAATCCAGATGTGCCATACTTTGCAGATGTTGTAAGCACTACAGAAAAATGTAGCTGTGCATATCTGGGAAAATCTCCAGAATTTCTTCCTCTAGAAATTTTTTATAAAGTAAAAGTATACGAGACTGACAATAATATTATTGTCTATAAAGGAGAATAGATTTTAGGGGTTAATACTATAGAAAGATTCATTTCTTTCCCTATTTGAAAAAGGTCTTTATCCCTTATTGTACTATTGTACTATTAAGAAGTCATTACATAACTGTCATACCTCTACATTGTTTTCTGGAGTGCCTGATTTATTGAAATCATTGTGTGTAAGATCTGTTGTGAATTCAAACCTATTTTAAAATGAAACCTGTAAAACAAAGGATTAAATACTTTGAAATTAACCAAGGATATAAAAGACTTACTATAAAACATTGCTGAGGGGCACCTGGGTGGCTCAATGGGTTAAAGCCTCTGCCTTCAGCTCAGGTCATGATCCCAGGGTCCTGGGATGGAGCCCTGCATCGGGCTTTCTGCTCAGCAGGGAGCCTGCTTCCTTCTCTCTCTCTGCCTGCCTCTCTGCCTACTTGTGATCTCTGTCTGTCAAATAAATAAATTTTTAAAAAATTGCTGAAAGATATTAAAGAAGACATAAGTAAATGGAAATGCATCCTATGTTCATGGATGAAAAGACTTAATATTGTTAAGATTTCAGTACTACCCAAAGCAACCTACAGATTTAGTATGATCCCTATCAAAATCCCAATGATGTTTTTGGCAAGAATAGAAAAATGCACCACAGAAATAACAAGGAATCTCGGGGGACCCCAAGCAGCTAAAAAAATCTTGAAAAAGAACAATGCTGGAGGACTCATACTTCCTGGTTTAAAAACTTATCACAAAGCTATAGTAACTAATACAGTATGGTCCTGGCATAAAGACAGATGTTTGGACCAATGGAATAGACCAGAGTCCAGAAATAAATCCTGCCATATATAGTCAAATGATTCTTCACAAGGGTGTCATGGTCATTCAATAGGGAAAGGACAGTCTTTCTAACAAAATGTGCTAGGAAAAGTGGATATCCATATGCAAAAGAACGAAGTTGGATCCTACTTAACACCATACACAAAAATTAATTCAAAATGAACCAAAGACCTAAGTAACCAAAGACCTAAAACTATTAAACTCTTAGAAGAAAACACAGGGCAAAAACTTCACAATACTAGACTTAGCATAAATTCTTGGATGACACCAAAGATATAGGTAAGAAAAGAAAAAATAGTCAAGTTGGGCTTTGCAAAATGTTTTAAATTTTATGCCTCATAGATTATAAAGGATTAAGAGTACACTTATCTTCCTTAACCCTGAGTAATGTATAGAATTGTTGAATCATTATATTGTACACCTGAAACTAAATAACATTGTATGTTAATTATACCTGAATTAAAATTTTTATAAAAAGAATTTCTAGGTGTGAGACTCCAGTGATTCTAATGTGCCCACAGGCCTATTGTTCCCAGATTAGGTATGCATCAGAATCAAGTGAGAAGGTACTGTAGAACACAGAGGCCCAAATTTATTTAACCAAGCATAGGACTTGGGTCTTTGCATTTTGAAGTAGTTCCCCAGGGAATTTCTGCTATCTAACAAAGTTCTTGAGAACCACTCCATAGACCATGCACACAAACAAAAAGCATCAAAAGGCAACAGAGTAGGGGCGCCTGGGTGGCTCAGTGGGTTAAAGCCTCTGCCTTCGGCTCAGGTCATGATCCCAGGGTCCTGGGATCAAGACCCGCATCAGGCTTTCTGCTCCTGCTCACGACCCCTGCTTGTGTTTTCTGTCCTGCTGTGTCTCTCTCTGTCAAATAAATGAATTAAATCTTTAAAAATAATAATAAACTTCCAAGGGATAAGTTAAGGATAAGAGATAAGCACAGAGAAAACAAAGTAAATGCAACACAAGACAATTAATTCCAGCAAAAGACATTTTAAAATCTATGCAAGTAAAGAAAATAGTCACTGTACAATACATAACTAAGCTAGGCCCACCTCTGACATTTGGGGAAGGGGCAGGGGAAAGATAAATGAAGGCCCATATATCGTATAACTATACATTTTTTAAATGTAAATCAGGCTAAAAAAAGTATTAAATAAAATACATCCTATTCTCCTACCTTAAGTAAATCACCTAGAAGGCCAGGATTGAATTTAAACCCTGATACTTCTCAGAGTTCCACACCAGAGCTTAGCAGTAGATGGAGAGCTAGCTGCTGACCTCAAACCAAGAGCCTACCCCTTTCTATCCCAGCCTCAAGGTCCAGCCCACACACTGAAGAAATTTGTGGGCATGTTTAAAGACCAATACATGTATCCAAGCTTGGATCATACCCTCACACTTTCCCCTTAGATGCATACACAGGTGGCACCATCCACCTTCAGTGGGACACATGAGGATGGGTCCTGCACAGGCTATAGAAGCAGCTTCAGGGTCATTTAGGCAGGGAATTCAAGGACCGAAATTGAGATCTGGAAAGAGAGTTTCTTTGGTTCTCTGAATTCCACTCCTAGGAAGAAAGGCCAAAGCAAAAACTTCTAAAGTCTGGCTCACAAGACACGGACCCCTTTGCAAGTGTCTAAGAGTAGTAATGGGCTCACCTGAAAACAGCGTTTAAAAAATCATGTTAACACAAATGAATATTAATATAAAAATCTTAATATATGGGTTTTTCAGAAGGATGAGGGGGATGGGAAACATGCAGTACAGTGCTTGGTAACAAGTGGAAAATGATTAAAGAAAGATAAAGTCTAATCTTTTATGGTAGGAAGTCAATAGATGATGTGTAACTGTAAAAAACATAAAAGTTGCCATACAATTATGTTATTTTGAGGTATAAGGAAAATGAAAAAGAAATATCTAAAAATCACTGAGCTCTAGGAAACAAAAAAGGAGGGAAAACAGAGTTTTCGGGAGTATTATCCTTCATTAAAAGCATTGTGGACAATAGCCAAACTAAGGAAAGAACCTAGATGTCCATCAACAGATGAATGGATAAAGAAGATGTGGTATATATATACAATGGAATACTATGCAGCCATCAAAAGAAATGAAATCTTGCCATTCGCAACAACATGAATGGAACTGGAGGGTATTATGCTGAGCAAAATAAGTCAATCAGAGAAAGACAATTATCATATGATCTTTCTGATATGAGGAACTTGAGAGGCAGGGCGGGAGGTTGTTGGGGGTAGACAAGGAAAAAATGAAACAAGATAGGATTTGGAGGGAGACAAACCATAAGAGACTTTTAATCTCACAAAACAAACTGAGGGCTTCTGGGGGGTGAGGAGGGTAGGGATAGGGTGGCTGGGTGATGGACATTGGGGAGGGTATGTGCTATGGTGAGTGCTGTGAAATGTGTAAGCCTGATGATTCATAGACCTGTACCCCTGGAGCAAATAATACATTATATGTTAATAAAATAACTTAAAAAAAATTGTGGATCTACTTGACAACTTTACACATATTAACTTTGATACTAAAAAAAATAATATAATGCAAAGAAAAAATTTTCATATGTATTTCTCAACTTAATATGAGCTCTGCAAAGTTTTTCATAAGCTGGTCCTTTACGAATAACAAAAATGTAAGAAGCAGAGGATTAGGGGAGAATATTAACATTTAATATGTAAAATGAACACTAGTGATAGGAAAGTGTTTCAGATTAACATTCTTTTAGGTTTTTGAGGGCACTACATATTTAAATTAATTCATTTATTGAATTAATTGAGGTATTTATTGAACATCTATAGGACAGGTATTGAGCTAGGAGCTGGTGATAGAGAAGTGAAACAAAATTCTTAAAAGACATGTTTTCTGCCCTTACAGAGCTTAATATTCAGTCCAGGTGAAACTGTGGAATCAAATATTCACTGAATATAAAATATCACCTGTGAAACTTGCTATGAAGCAAAGTTCTTAGTGCTATGAGTACACAGAACAGGTAAACCTGATTCAATGAAAAGAATGGGAAAGATTTCCCCAGAAATAACACATAAGCAAAGATCTCATAAATGACTGAGTAATAACTGACCCTTTACAGGAGTCCCATACACCCGCCCCCCCTGCCCTGGAAGTTCCTGCTTTAATATCATCCTCAGTGCTAGGCACAGAGCAGCCCTAAGAAAAGGACTCAGTAAGGAAGCATTAATGGAGTTCAAACCTAGCAGCTGAGGCCCTAGGTCAATTACAAGCCCTGTAGCTAAAGATCTGCTTTAGCATGGTTGCTAAAGTCTTGGAGGAGGTACAGGGAGAGAGAAGAGGACACAGCAAATCTCATTTTGTAAAAACCAATAGGCTACAACATGGAAAACGAATTGATGGTGGAAAAGAGTAGATGCAAGGAGACCATGTGGCAGGTCAATCAAAGATAAAAACAGAGTAAGTGTATGCAAAGAATGAGTACCTTAAATAGGTAATTATTACACTGCAGGCTATTTTTTCTTACACCTGATTAAAACACTTTCATAGCTGGAACTTTCAAGTCACCTTAAAATACACCATCTTTGAAAGGCATTTAACTCCTAAACCCATTAAGAGATTCTCTTGTTACTTTATAACAATATTTATTACCCAGTTGGTGGTAAACCATCTAAATTCAATCATCAGAAATAGGTAATAACAACTGGGGTGCTTGGGGGGCTCAGTCCGTTAAGGATCCAACTCTTAATTTCAGCTCAGGTAATGATCTCAGGGTCGTGAGATCGAGCCCCACATCATGCCCCATGCTCAGCAGAGTCTGCTTGAAGATTCTCTCCCTCTGTCCCCCACTCACACACGCTCTTGCATGCTCTATCTCTCAAATAAATACCTTTTTTTTTTAAAGAAACAGGTAATAATAATTAGTGATCAAAAGAAACATCTAAGCTACTTTGGAGAGGCCAGATTGACCTGTAGTCTACTCCAGTCTTCTCTTTTCTTATATTGGGAGTTATGTGCTGCTCTATAGGGTTTTATTAGCTTGCTTGTTTCCATTTCAAGGCTTAAGAAGAACTTTCTGGTAAATTTCTTAGAGGTATATGATGCTTGCAATTGAGCTACTTTGGCAGTGTGTTAATTTTGGTTTTTTGAAACATTGCATCTGTAAGAACCACTCCTTTATGTTTGTAACA